GGTTGTGGTTCACTATGAACAAGAAAGTGAGATACTTGAAATCACAATCTGGGAACTGAGAGAGTTGGTATGACAAGGTTTAGTTAGGGGTCAGCAAACATGGCCTATCGGCCAAAGTTGGCCTACTGCCTGTGCTTTACACAGCATTGAGCTAAAAATAGTCTTTACTTTTTTTTTTTTAGTCTTGATTTTTTTAGTCTTAAATTATTTTTTTAGTCTTAAAAAAATTTATTTTTATTTTTATTCCAGTATAGTTAACATATAGTATTACATTAGTTTCAGGTGTACAATATAGTGACTCATCAATTCCATATATTACTCAGTGGTCATCAAGATAGTTTTTATATATTATTTTCTTTTTATTTTTTTCTTAATTATTTTGAAAGAGGGAGTGTGCACATGTGTGGGCTGGGGGAGGGGTGGAGGGGAGAAGAGAATCCCAAGCAGGCTCCTCGCTCTCAGCACAGAGCACAATGTGAGGCTCGATCCCATGAACTGCAAGATCATGACCTGAGCCAAAATCAAGTCGGACACTTAACTGACTGAGCCAACCAGGCATAGTTTTTACTATACAACCCAACATAGTTTTTACATTTTTAAATGTAATATACACACACACACACATACATACAAGGGCAATTATTCTTTTGGCAAGAACAATTGCTCTAAGAATTGAAGACATTGCCTCCTGGCCTGCAAAGCCTAGGGTACTTACTATCAAGCCCTTTACAGAAAAAGTTTCCTGACTCTTAGTCTAGACTCTAGGGTATCACCATGGGTGTGAGTAGCTGAGGTAAGGTAGAGGACACAATTGTAAAGGCCAGGTGGCCAGGATATTGGCAGGAATATCTACACGTGTATAGAAACTGCTAATAATTATGACAGTGTTGGAGAGAGTGGCAGGGAGCTAGAACTAACAGTTAAGGAATAAGGGGTTGTGACCTGGGATCTGTAGATGCCTACTGAGGACTGCAAAATAGAGGAACCACATGTAATCTAGTCTGATAGCATGAGGTTCAACATTCAAAGTTAAGGGAGGAGAGAGAGAATGTTCTAGAAGTAGCTGGGGGAAGAGCTAGTCAGTCATTGGTACTCCTCTAGGCACCAGTGGTTTGAGGGATGAATACAGCTACCACTCGACAGAGCTGCAGGGGAAGCAGAGTGCTCAGAGATGGCCTGGGTGACCAAGTTAATGGTGCCTTGAGGAAAGAGCACAAAGTGAAGGGGCAGTTAAGTCAGCCCCCACTGGCTGGAAAGACTTTGCAGAGGAAAGCTTTGAGTGGAAGCTTAAAGTATTGGTAGGACTTAGGTAACAATGGGTGGGACAGGAAGAAGGGAAGGGATACATAGGTGTAGGAAAGCATGATATATTTAAACACTGACCTCAGAAAGGCACAAATGAACTTCAGTACAGCTGGAGGTTCAAGACCAGTGCAATTAGGAGCTTTGGGAGAAGAGCATTATTGTTTCTTCTTTAGTATTTGCATGCTGGGGCTTAAGTAGATTGAGAGCCTCACGTAGATAGGTAGATGCTCTATAAATGAAAGAAAACCACACAATCAACTCGCAGACTTGTTACTTCCTCACAGGTATAGTAGAAACTGTTTTAAATAAATCTGTATATGGGGATTCACTCATTCATCTCTCAAGCATTTTTTGAGAGTATCTCATCTGCCCAACGCTCTGCCGGGCATTGGGGGTGTAGTGGTGAACAACACAAAAGCTTCCTTCCACTCTCTGAGCTTATAGTCTGCAAGTACTGAAGTGTGATCAGGCTCAGATAGGATGTTACTGGTGCTCACTGCTTTGGCATCTAAACCAATCTGGGGGCCAGGGAAGAGTCCTGGAGGAAGTGACAATGTGGAGAAATAGGTTGTTGTTAGAACAAGGAATGGGTGGTGGTGGAGAATGTTCCAAGTGAAGTGACAGCACTCATTGGGTTGGAGGTGGGAGAAAGGGCTATTTAAGGCACTGAAGACATGGAGTGTGGTGAAAGATGGAGTCGGAAAGACGATGGGGGTCTAGCCTGGAGTGGGGTCTGCATCCTCAAGAAGCCTCTGGCAAAGTCCAAGAAGGCAGGACCCATGTCTGTCCTGTTCGCTGCCTTGCACCTATCAGGTGCTCACTTCCCATACCTGGCATGTGGTAGGTACATGATAATGGTTTGTGGAAGGAGTGTGTCACTGTGAACCATAGTCTAACGCTCTGAAAAAATTATTAGTTTATCAGTATAAATACCTTCATTATTCTTGTAAACAAAATGACAAATGTGAAAGCATTTTGTAATCTGTAAAACATACCTGATTTAAAGCTATATTATGTTGCAATATGTATAATGTAGTACCTCTTTTGTGCTCCTAACAACTGTTTTTTTTTTTTTTTTGAGACTCTTATTTACTCAACTCAAAATCCCCAAAACATTGTATTAGAGAAATTATCCAGTCATATGTAGTACAAAAGTAGCTTGATTAGGGAAAAAACCTTCATCAGCCTGATCACTTCCTTTTACCGCTTCCTAAGGTGGCTTCTAGCATATTCACATTGCTTGTTTTCTATGAAGTGAGCATAAACCAACAGAAAGTAATCACGCTTTTCTCCTGGTTCAGAATAGATCCTACCTTGTTCCTCACTGTGTACTCCTCTATCTTCACCAGGGAATCATCAACTCCTTGGAAACAGGTGTCTTGCATCGTTTATGCCCAACATCCAACATTATGGCTATTAGCTGGTATTTAATACCTACTGGCTACATTTAATACATTTATTCTGGAAGTTGGGACTGTTCACAAATACAGTACTAGAGCCTAAATAATTGTATTTAATGCACTTAAATGATCATTGGCTATTATATTACCAAATGTTTCATACACTTTAACTTGAAAGGGAAAAGAATGAAGATGCAGAAATATTGAATTTCATTTTTTCTCCAAATTTTCTAGAGTTTGTCTTGTTTTAGGTCTACCACATAATGAGCAATAACCCATGAGATCATTTTACCATCTTCTTTGATATATAACGCAAAGGTAATAATGTTGAAAAGCTTTTTCTGATATTTAGGCCAGGTTTCCTTTTATTTTATTCCGTCACATCTCTCTGTGGCCTACTAAATAGTTTTCTATCTACGGCATTTAAAAGCTATGCTTGCTCTTCTGTTAAGCTCTTTAATTCTGACTTAATTATCATATACACAAACGAGTCTCTTGATCCTGCCCCATAAAACAGTTCCTGTAGCTTCTTAGTACTTGTTGTTCAACTCTGTCTGGCTCTTATTTTGGGGGAGGAGGGTAAGTTTAATTTAGAGTGGCCCAAGCTTTTTGGAGAAAGAACTCTGAAGCTAATTTTTAAGTAACCTTTTAGAATTTGTGATTTTTTTTTTTTTTTTGGTCTATGTTTGCATTTCCTAAGTTTTCTTTCTTTACAGTGATACATTTAGTTACATAGAAAAACCTCTTCGCTCCGGTAGAACGAATGAGAGGAAAAGGCTTTTTGTGTGTATGTGTTGTGGGTTCATTGTTCCCGGATGTAGTATTCTGTCATTCATTCACATGCACCATCCATTTTTACAAAACGTGTAAAAAATTTGTAACAATGTATCCCACTGCTGCTTTCTGATTTTTTTCTGAACTCATCTTAATTTCATACCAAGGGCTTGAGTAATTAGATTCAGTTTAAATGGCTTTCAAGTTCGAGGTATAATAGTTACTGATTAAACATTAAAATTGTTGGTCAAGAGGCACCTGGGTCAGTAGAGCACCCGACTCTTGATCACGGAGTTGTAAATTCAAGCCCCACGCTGGGTGTGGAGATTACTTAAAAAAATAAAATACTCAGGGGTGCCTGGGTCGGGTCCCTCAGTGGGTTAAGCTTCCAACTGCAGCTCAGGTCATGATCTCCTGGCTCGTGGGTTGGAGCCTGGAGTTGGGCTCTGTGCTGACAGCTCAGAGCCTGGAGCCTGCTTCAGATTTCTGTCTCCCTCTCTCTCTGCCCCTCTCCTGCTCACACTCTCTCTCTCAAAAATAAACAAACACTAAAAAAATTTTTTAAATAAAATATTCAAAAAAATTGTTGGCCAGTAATAAAAGGCTGTAGCAAAGGACCTGATAAATTGATTTTTTTTCCACTAACACTCATTTTTCTTGTTTGTGATGTGTGCTGAATGTAAAGCTACCACTCAAGTATTTTCAAACTATGCAAAATCTGTTCTGCTGCAGAGCTTCTGCGCTCTTGCCTCGTTACTCTCTCCAGCCTGTCCCCACCTTTTAGGTCTCAGCTCAAAACTCACCTTCTCTGAGTGTCCCTATTCACCAATCTTGGTCTCACCAACTTTTTTACTTTACCGATATGAAATAAACTTGCTAATTTACTTATTGCGTCCCTCCTCCCACTGCTAGTCCGTCAAGGGTCGGGGCACTATTACTTCCCAGAGGTGAGCGGTGCTGGGCTAGTGATACCTGCTCGATGCGTTTCTGATTAACGGATAAATACGGCATTTTCACTCAGCGGAGACAGGCCATTCCCCAGGCGGAAGGGACCGGCCTGTAACTTTGCATGACTGCGCACAAAACATGCTCAAAATGACCCTATGCAGACGCCTTCTTTCTCGCCAGGCAGAAACCCTGACCCCAATTTCACCTTTCCCACCCCGTTTCGCGCTCGAGGAGTGAGGGGTGAGCGGTCCGAAAACCTCCTCCCTAACGTTTCCCGGCGGAGGCCGGAGGAGGAACCGGCGCGCACGTACTGCACCCGCCGCCACGTCAGCCCGTGCGCGCGACGGTAGCGCGCCTGCGCGCGGAGGACCGCCCCGTACATCCGGGGCCTGGGCGGCGGCGGCGCCGCCGTGCGGGGGTCACGTGGCTCTTTCCTTTCCGTCTCTGGCCGGCTGGGCGCGGGCGACTGCTGGCGAGGCGCGTGGAACCTCGCGCTGGTTCCCTTTCGTCTCTTCTCGCGGCCCGGGCCACCAAGGAGTTTGCTGACGCTGGTGAGCTGAGCCGCCCGCCAAGATGCCGGCCTATTTCCAGAGGCCGGAAAATGCCCTCAAACGCGCCAACGGTGAGTAGGGGATCGGGGCGCGCCGGGCTGGGTCGGCCCGAGGCCTCGGAGGTCGAGGGGCCCGGGCCTCCTTCTCCCTGCTCCGCCTCCCGTCTGCGGCTGCAGAGGTGGTCGATGAGACCTGTCTGCCGCCGTTCCAGCCTGTGGTTGGGCATGGTTTCCCTTCTCGCTCCTACCGACCGCCTTTGGGGGGGGGGTGGGAGGTGCGGAGCCGGGAACCGTCGCTCTGGGGGGGCCCTTCCTTCCCCCCGCCGCTTCCTGCTGCGTCTCAGGGGCCGCGGCCCCGGAGACAGGTCTGCCGGGGCCTGGCCTCCTTAACCGGCCCCCCCCCCCCCCCCCGTCCGCCTCCGCCCGGCTCCCCAGGCCGCCGGGCCCTCGGCTGCTTAGGCCCCGCGCCCCCAGCCGCCATCTGGGAGTGCCGGGGAGGAAGAAACATGGCTCCCTCCCGGGGACAATGCACGCGAGAACCTCGACTCCACCTCCTGCCGGCGCCGGGAGCCGGCCTGTCCCACCTCCCGCCCTCTCGCAGACACCTCCGCCCCCCAAATCCAGCGCCGGGCTTTGCTGGGTCAGGGTCCACTTAGCCTTTTCCCCGGTCACTATAGCTCTGCTTCGGGGACTCTGACCCAATTAACCGGTTGTCTGTTTTTTCCTGGCATTGATTATTCTCAGTCCCAGAGCCTATCCCAAATCACATGAAGTTGGAACATTGTTAAACCTGTAAGAGACTTCAAGTTCTTTCTTAAAGATAACGAAATTGAGGCCTACAGAGAGAATGTTTACCCAAGGTCACTCCGAGAGTTAGTTGTGGAGCCAGGAGACTAGAACCAAGGTCTCTAGACTTCCAGATGAGTTGCTTTTTTTCGCCGCAGCGCTGCTGCCTGCGATTTTTATTTCCATGTGTTCTTATGCCACCGGCCCTTTCGCGAAAAGTTGTGCGTGTCTCGGTCTATTCAAGAGGCATTTATTACGTTCGCATCATGGGGGTGCAATGTATTATGCATGGCTCTGGTCTTTAAAAACTTTTTCGTTTAGAGTTTTTTTAAGCCTAATAATTTCTAAGTGAGTAGGTAGTTGATAGTTCTTATTTCAACCCTTCCTGTACCCCAGACAAGTTTTGAGTCTTATCCCATTTTGTAGGTGGATATACTGTGTCTCTTACAGTCCTTATGTTGGTGGAGCTTATTTTGTTAGCTTGTTTGGAAATTCCTCTTGTGGAAATGTCAATTTCAGTCGACACAAAATTGTTAGTGATAATCTGTCAGGGGTAAGGGTGCCTTCCTCACATGGTTATTTTAAAAGCAACAATTTGGGAGGGTGGTAAGAGTGTGAAATAGGATAATGCCACATTCTTTGGAATAGAGTAGAGTAATTGTTCTAAAAATCAGTTAAAAGTACAACTTAGATCTGATGACTGCTCATTTTAACCAGTGATCTAATGGTTAGGACAGGCAAGAATTAAGGACGTTAATTTATAGGAAAGAAACTCGGTGGAAATGGAGATTTATCACCAGAAAATGAACTGTAGCAAAGTTGGAATTTTTTTCTTACGTTTAGAAACTTAGAAATCTATATTATGGTATACAAAATGACTTGGATTCAATTGCTACTGTAATTGCTGTTGTAGATTTGTTCTACAGTTGTTTGCTTTACCAACAGGCATTTTTCCTTCTAATAGGCTGAAGCACTGTAATCTGGATAGCCTAAGTATTACACATTTGATGTGCTCCGGCCTTGTTGCTTTCATCACTCCTCCCTTTTGAATCCTCATATGAGTTTACTATTTCAGTAATTCTTTAAATTAAAAGGGTTATCTCCTGTGTAACGAATCTTAAACCTCTTTTTCACGTTTTGTAAGTTGAAATAGCCTTGACTCATGAAGGGCAAGTTAGGGAAAGCATCTGAAATTAAACTAGGCAAGATGAGAAAGGGGCACTGTGGGGGGGGGCTTTTATTTGTGTAGGTTTTTTTTTTTTTTTTCAACGTTTATTTATTTTTGGGACAGAGAGAGACAGAGCATGAACGGGGGAGGGGCAGAGAGAGAGGGAGACACAGAATCGGAAACAGGCTCCAGGCTCTGAGCCATCAGCCCAGAGCCCGACGCGGGGTTAGCGAACTCACCGACCGCGAGATCGTGACCTGGCTGAAGTCGGACGCTTAACCGACTGCGCCACCCAGGCGCCCCTGTGTAGGTTTTTTAAAAGTCTGTATTGACTCCTTGCTGCAGCCCTTTTAAATTGTAGGATGGGTGTTACAGTAGAGAGAGGCCTTAGCTTTCAAGTAGTTAGTTCTGTACCTTTGATCTTGTGAATGAAAGATCTGTCTGAAAGTGTCAAAGTGAGCTGAATGTGGATGGCACATGGCACCACTTACAAAACTTTAAATAGGATCGTAAAAGCGCATTTCATTCCATGGAGATAATCTCATTTTATGTAAATGTTTTATCTATGACATTTGTAGCCTTAAACACATTTAGACCTAATCCACTGCATTATCGTAATAAAATGTGAATGTGTTTAAGTACAATAGTTCTTCAAGTCACTCTGAGTCTGTAATTCAGAACAATTCCTTTGGAAACTATTATAGTAATCATTCAGGAAGATGAGAACTTGGCCTAAGCAGTTACAGACAAGAAATTTATACCCCAGAATCATTTGGAAAAAGATCCTTTTGCAGATTATGTTGTCAGTAGTGCAGAATTAATTGCTCCTGACCTTGTAACAACCTTTTAATTTAGTCTACCAGTGACTTACAAATAAAGTTATTAAACCCACAAATCGAGTAACATTATAGCTTATCTACCTGGTCTGTTGCCCAAATAAACTAGTAATGTTGAAGGGCCGACCTAAGCTTTTTCTTTTATAAATAGATACAATTTGTCACTGTGTCTGAAAGGTAAACTCAGCATGTCCACCCTCCTAGTAACAGTTCATAATGCTAGATTTTATTTTTATTTCAAGAATATCAGTTTGGAAATGAACTTTTTTTTTTTTTTTTTAACATTTTAGTAGAGCTTTTAATGTGTGGTATGCCTTTCTAGCCTCAAAAAAAATTTTTTTTCCCTTACTAGAGAATTCATAGGAACTAAATTCTCCCTGTATGTGACTTCAGATAAAAACGAACTCACCCTCATGGACTATCATATTTGTTCCCATTCAGGTTTTTTCCCTTTAAAAATGTCCTTGCTTGGTATCCATGTTTGCTTTTTTCCCATGATGATGGTAGGGTGTCCTATAAAAATTATTTTTTAGTGCATTTGCTTTGTTTGTTTGAACCTATTGTTTCAGAGTTTGAAAGTGGAATTTGTAATAATAAATTCTGATTGGCTGTTTAGGAAGTGAAAAAAATCACTTTTCTATCCCTAAACAAGATTTTTTATTTTTTATAGTGACATTAAGACACCACACTCCCCTACTTAAAAATAAGAGATAGGGTAGGTAAATTATTTTTACATAGTTTATTATTTTGTCATCACCATCCCGGGCACAGTTCTCAACTTTAATTCTCTTTGTGCCTGTTCTGTGTTACAAGCATTTTGACAGTGTTTATATACTAAACAGTGTAAGATTTAAATCCTCAGTGTAAGATTGGGAATTGGATATAATAAGTTGTTCTGGTGCTGATGCTGTGCTCTTTAATATGAATGCTAAATTTAACTAAAAACATTTACTTCCAAATTTTTGGGTGATAGAGACTTTTCTGTTAAATAATTGTTAAAAACACCTAAGGTACTGTTGGATTTTAGATGATAACCTTGTATGTATGCTCTAGTTTAAAGACTGTAACGTCCTCCCCTCAGAACAGGAAGGCTTAAAAAACAAAAAACACCCAGGAAAGGCTTAGTATTCTAACAAAGTATCTAGTTGTGTTACATCTTTGTTTCCTCTTACAAGGTGTTTTCTTTTCTTTTTTTTGGTTCTTTGGTTTTTTTGGTAATAGCATTGACTCAAATGAAAATGGACTTTTTCTCGTAACAGTACTATTAATGTTGACATTGACGTGAATTACTGAAGAGGGGTTTATTTTCACTAACGTATGAAGAATAGGGCTTAATATGATATGGGAAGACACAGGCTATCCTTTAAAGATAAGAATTTCAGTATATTTTGTGATTTGTTGCAAACTTCTTAATATACCATAGAGTTTTAATATTGTTTCGTTTTCCTGGAGGAAGGAACGTTCAGAAGCAGCATTCCTGAAAGATGTGATAGTTGGGAGAAAAATTACTTACTAAATCTGTAAATCTGGTAAAACTCCCAAATAAGCAGTGTTTCTGCCAGTTGTTTGCCTAGCACAGAGTTACATGATAATGCAGTATGCTGTTTGGTTAACTCTTAAAAATAATTCTTTGTCAAAGATTTTTTTCTTAGGAAAATAGTGATTTTTAGCAATAGGGATGTAGTGTTTTAAGATCTTTTTTAATAGTGTTAATTAGTGTTTTGGTTCCCCAAAGTATGTTTTCAAATGTTCAGTGGAAAGATTTTTTCTTTGTGAAATTTGTTAATTACTGAATTTTAAGTTGAACATAACCAAATGACTTAGGTTAAATAGCCTTCCCCTTCCCTCAGTTTACTAAGTTTTGTGCAAAAGTAAATAAAGGAAAAGATGAGAAAAAAGATAAATTTTAACCTTTGTCAGAAGTAATGTGATAGAGGACTCTGCTTTTGAGTGAATTTCAAAATGAGCAGTGTACATAAAACCTTAGATTGGAACTGGATTTTGAAATATTGCCACTTGCAGAGTGCCTTCAAGTTTAGGTGGTAGTAAATTCAGAAATGTGTAATTTTCTCTGGTATGCATTCTAAAATCTTTTTTTTTATTTTTAAAAGTAAACTTAATTTTAAAAGTTAGAGATTTACAGAATTATTGCAAAGATAGTACAGAGAATTCCCATATACACCATAACCTATTAATTTCTTCTGTCATTTTGGGACATTTATCACAACTAATGATCCAATACTGATAACATTATTAATGAAAGTCCATACTTTGCTCAGATTTCTGTAGCTCTCCCTCATGTCCTTCTCTGAATTCCAGGATCTCATCCAAGATACCACATTATATTTAGTCGTCCTGTTTCCTCAGACACTCCTCCTCCCCCCCTTGGTTATGACAGTTTCTTAAACTTCCTTGTTGGTAACCTTGACAAGTTTTGATGAGTACTGGTCAGGTATGTTGTAGAATGTCCCTCAATTGGGGTTTGTCTTAAGATTTTTCTCATGTTTAGGTTGGGATAAATAAATGGGAGAGATATTTCATAGATTGGAAGACTATTGTTAATTCTTCCAAATTTTGATATTTAGATTCACTAAATCTGAATGAAAATTCCAGTGAGCTATTTTGTAGATATTTACAAACTAATTGTGAGTTTATATGGAAAGGCAAAAGACTTAGTGAGCCAAACAATACAGAAGAACAAAGTTGGAGCACTCATACTACTTGGTTTGAAGACTTTACTATAAGTCCATGGTAAGCAAGTCAGGGCGGTATTAGAAAAAGACTAGATACATTGCAATAGAGAGTGATAAGAATAGAGAGCCCAGAAGTAGACCCACATAAATAGTCAATTGATCTTAAAGGAACAAAATCTAATTGACTGTCTTATTGAGTCTAATGATCCTTTTGCCTAGAGCAGAAATTGTATCCACCAGATCATTGTGACTAAAGTCACATTTCACTTTTCTTTGTTTGCTGGGAGGAGATTTTTCTCTCATAACTTCAATTTTTGGAACATGGCAGTCATTTACAAGGGTTTGGTACAATGTAATTGAGTGAAATCGTTTTATCCATAGACCATATTTTGAGATAATACCAGTCTTCATTTTATTAAGTTGGGTAATTTCGGCATGGCTTTAGATGTCAAAAATAAGTGTGCTCTAAAAAGAGATGATAGTGAGTTTAGAAATTAAAATAGCCAACTTAAGCAAGATTTACACTTTAGTATAGTATACATACCAATTTTAATTTTTCTGAATTACTTTTCCAGAATTTCTTGAGGTTGGAAAAAAGCAGCCTGCTTTGGATGTTCTTTATGATGTTATGAAAAGTAAGAAACACAGAACATGGCAAAAGATACACGAGCCAATTATGTTGAAATACTTGGAACTTTGTGTGGATCTTCGCAAGAGCCATTTGGCTAAAGAGGGATTATACCAGTATAAGAACATTTGTCAACAGGTATGAAAAGAGCTGGGTTTTATATTTTTAATAGTGCTTTAATGATTTTCAGAGAAGTTTACCTTTTAAAGGTAATATGCTCTTATGTCATAAAATTTGCTCTTAAAGCATTCTGTGGTTTGTTGAGAAGTATTTTAAGGTTTTCTCTCTCTCTCTCTGGTTAGGTGAACATCAAATCTCTAGAGGATGTTGTTAGGGCATATTTGAAATTGGCAGAGGAAAAAACTGAAGCTGCTAAAGAAGAATCTCAGCAAATGGTCCTAGACATAGAAGATCTGGATAATATTCAAACTCCTGAGAGGTATGTAGGTTAAATTGCTAATTCTTTTTTTTTTTTTTTTTTTTTTTTTTTTTTTTGCTAATACATTTTTGTCAATGTTTTTCTTTACATGTGTCTCCCTCGTCCTCATTTGAAGTATAGATGTTTATTAGAAAGAATGCTTACCTTTGGAATTTTAAGTGTCTTAAAAGAAAGCCATATTATTCAGAATTCATAAAGGTGGCAAATTAACAACCTTCAGATAGTCAGATACTAATTTAAATGGTTGTAATATGGGTGGGGGATGCAAATACTTGAACACTTACATGGCATCTTTACAGTGTGCCCAAAGTTGTAAGAAGGATTCACACTTTCTTACACTGGTATCATTGTTGGTTTTGGTTTTTTTAATCTTAGGGCAAAGTAGGAAATCGTGTCTAAAATTGTTTTTAACTTAAAAAAATTTTTTTTTAGTGTTCTCCTAAGTGCTGTAAGTGGTGAAGACACTCAGGATCGTACTGACAGACTACTTTTAACTCCATGGGTTAAATTCCTTTGGGAATCATATAGACAGTGTTTGGACCTTCTTCGAAATAATTCTAGAGTAGAGCGTCTCTACCATGATATTGCCCAACAAGGTAAAATGAGAACTGATTTGAAAAGTTGACTTTTAGGAAAAGACTTTGCAAAAGATTGACAATTAAAGTTAACCTGTTTTTCTTCATCGTATTTGTTTTATAGTTTTTATCCTCATTGAGAGATGGTTGGCATTCATTCAAATAGTAACTAAGTGACTATAAGAAATTTGTTTTACTAGTTAGGGTAATTCTATATGAAATCCACTTCATGGATGTCTGAAAGACAAAGTCATTTTGGAATTTCCCAGGTGACTAGAAAAACAAATGTAACTTTTTGATTGCTTTCTGATAAATGTGACTTGTGCTTTTTGACTTCACCTACTGCATATATACTTAATCATGCCGTGGCTTTTTTTTTTTTTTTTTTTTTTTTTTTTTTAATGCTTATTTATTTTGAGAGAGAGAGAGTGAGCAGGAGAGGGGCAGAGAAGGAGAGAGAGAATCTCAAGCAGGCTCTGCTCCACCAGCGCAGAGCCTGATGTGGGGCTCGAACTCATAAACCCATGAGATCATGACCTGAACCCAAATCAAAGAGTCGGTCATTCAACCAGCTGAGCCACCCAGGTTCCCCATGTAAGGGTTTCTAAGGTCTTTTTAAGCTCTGGACTTCTGTGATTCCTTGAAAAATTCATATTTTTATTTTCTTAAACAGTATTACTGAACATAGAAATAAGTCATCTTGATGACTCTGGATCATCTTAAAAGGTATCCAGCTGTCATAGTGCATATACAATTGACACTTGAACAGCTTGGGGTGGGGGAGTAGAGGCGCAGACTGAAACACCCCTTTGACCCCACTCATGCACCGTTGATCTGCCTGTGATTTGCCTATCCGAAAACGTAACTATAGCCTACTGTTGACCAGAAACCTTGCTGGTAACATAAACAGTTGATTAACACATTTTGTACGTTATATGTTATATACTGTATTAAGGTAAACTAGAGAAAAGAGAAGGTTAAAATTATTGAAAAAATCCACATGTAAGTGGATCCACACAGTTCAAACCCTTGTTCAAGGGTTAGCTGAACTTTCAGTCCTAAAGAGCTGCATCAAGTCTGTTATCTTAATCTTGTGTCTTGTCTTTACTGTCACTTACCTTGCTCTTAATGGAGCTTTCTAACTGTAATACAAATGGGGTATGTGTGACTTGAGAGTAGCTTTTGACTTTTTCTTACTTTGGCCTCTGTACAACCTTATGTTGCCATTCTTCTCACTATGGGGATGATTGGCATTTGTTTTATCAAGTTGTAAGTGACTTTAAGGAATATTTTACCAAAAAAAAAAATACTGTAGGGGCACCTGACTGGTTCCATTGGTAGAGTATATGACTCTTGATCTCAGGGTTGTAAGTTGGAGCCCCATATTGGGTGTGGAGATTACTTCATAAATAAATGCTTATAAAAATATTTTACTATGAGTATTACAACTTCTGTTTTATTTACATAGCATGTGTGAATTTTCATTTAAGACAAGTAAACTTGGGCTTTTTGCTAACTACTGATACATAAATGTTAACTTGAAGTTAAACTGCATCCCTTCATTTTGGGCCTATTGAAATAGAAATGCTCGCTCTCTCTCTCTTTTTTTTTTTTTAGGGCAAAGGAATTCTGAAAAAATTGTTATATTGCATATATGACCGTAGAAAATTATTTTAATGACAGAGCAAGTAGTTAAGGTATACATCTATGTACACAGTTGAAATCAGGTTATCATAAGCCCAAATTTTGTTAGATAAGAAGGCTGTTTGTATTCCAGGCTAGAATTTTTTGTTCTTTTAGGATTTGAAGTGGTAGGTGTTTGAAAGGTGAGTCCCTCCTACACTTCAATTGAATAGCTTCCCATTTGTAAATTCTCCCAGAATCCCAGAAACAAATTTTAGTCCTAGGCCAGGACTATGTCCAGTAGATGGTCAGGACACAAGTGACTAATGACCTTGATCATTTCTGAAGACTAATTATAAATTTGTGTAAATCTTGTTAAAATAACTGATTTCAGTATTTGAAATAAAACTTATTCACATACTTGTTGATGGTGGAAAGTACCTAATATATTTTATAATTATGTCTATAGCTTTCAAATTCTGCCTCCAATACACCCGTAAGGCTGAATTCCGTAAGCTTTGTGACAATTTGAGAATGCACTTGTCACAGATTCAACGCCACCATAACCAAAGTACAGCAATCAATCTTAATAATCCAGAAAGCCAGTCCATGCATTTGGAGACCAGGCTTGTTCAATTGGACAGTGCTATCAGCATGGAATTGTGGCAGGTATGTTGTGAACTACTGTCTGTCTTTTGTAGTAACAGTAGCCCATATTATTATTATTATTTTCTTTAATGAGTATCTTTCTCTTGATACTTACTGGTTAATTTTAATCATTAAGTGAAGAATTTAAGATCATCTGATGGATAACCAAGAGTTCTGAACAAGCAATCTCAGAATATCGTGGTTCTAGTTGCCTGCTGTGAAATGGGGGTCAAATGTGTGCTCTTTTGGGCCCAGTGGCTTTCCATATAAAACAGTTCATCCTCAGTGCTGCTCCAAGTGTGGTTCATTGCCTGGTGCCAGTCTGTGAACTACCAGATTGAAATAATTAGGAGAATATGCATTTACGAAGGGTTTTTTTGGGGGGAAGGATAGCAATTTCATGGTGATGGTGTGTGTGTTTTATTCTGTTTAGAAAAACTGAGCTTGTTTTTCAATTAATTTTTGTAATAATTTTACTGTATTTTATAAAAGTATTGGTGGCAAAAGGTTGGAAATTAAAAACGAAACGAAACAAAACAAAACTTGTCCTTTGCTGTAGAGAATTGGAGAAGCGCACTGGATCATCTCTCAGATTTCTTGGTGCTGCTTTGACTTAGTAAACATGCATGGGGAATATCCCACATGGGAGATCTCAGTGTGGTGCTGGGAGTCTTGCCCACTACTTGAGCTTTTTACACTAAGAATTGTGCAAAGACATTTTCACGTGATTTTGTAGTCACAACTTGAGACTTCTACATGTTTGACCAAAATATAAAATCTAATTGAAATTGCAAAGAAAGAGTGGTAGTTTTTTGAGTCAAGTGAAAATGTGATTTCCTGCTCTCCAAAATATTTTCCATTTCTGTAGGGACACCCTTAAAATACTACCTGATGAAATGGGAAAAAGAGGTTCTATAGAAGGTAGACATACTCCTTATAGAACAAATGGATAGATAAGTAGAAAGAAGAAAGAAGGAAGTAATACTCACATGTTATCACTCAGAAATAACCTCTATGTTTTGTTTTAATGTCCTTCTAGATATTTTTTCTGTATATCCCAAGTGGTATGATAATCACTTTTAATAAAGAATTTTAAAGTCACATTTATTGATGTGTAAGTTACACCCAGCAAAACTCGCCCTGAAGTCTGACAAATGCAGTAACCACCATAATCAAGATGTAAAACATTTCCTCAAAACGGCCTCATGCCCCTTTGCACCCAACCCTTCCCTGATCCTTAAGATCCGCTGATCTGTTTTCTGTCAAAAGGATCTGATTTAATCATTAAAACGATCTATTACGGAAAAATTTGTAAGCATATAAAACCATGTTTGCAAGGGTACTTTGAAACATTTTTAGGACAGTCAATGGGATTTAAAAATAACCTTTGCAAATTAAAGCATAGTTGGCAAAGTTGTCAAGATAGTCGTAGAATAGCTAACCTGGTTACTGTGTCAAGCTTTAGGCTGGGGCTGGTTGGCAGAAAGACTAAATAAAATTGAATTCTACAGAATTCTCTATGGGGCAGATAGATGTTTGTATAGATATTTGGCACTTTCTCAAAATACACCCCTGCTACTACTGTGAAAGAGACAGAAAGCAAAACACTGTGTTCTATACGTCAGCTGGCACATGTTCAAACCTGTGCCAGTTCCAACCTGTTCTGTCTAATTTTAAGAAGTTTAAGGATTTAGTATGTTTGTGATCATGGCAGTTTTGTGAGATACATCAGATACTAGATTATAGATGAATAAAAGGAACCACACATAACGGGATTTTACTTCCCACTTTTATTCTTCAGTGTTTTGTGTTTTAGGTTTCATAAAGAGATTTGGATTAGATTTTTTGTTCGTTTAGAATGCAGTGACTGTAATTTATACTCCTAATTTTAGGAAGCGTTCAAAGCTGTGGAAGATATTCATGGACTGTTTACCTTGTCTAAAAAACCACCTAAACCTCAGTTGATGGCAAATTACTATAACAAAGTCTCGACTGTGTTTTGGAAATCTGGAAATGCTCTTTTTCATGCATCTACACTCCATCGTCTTTACCATCTATCCAGAGAAATGAGAAAGAATCTTACACAGGAAGAGATGCAAAGGTAAGAATGTTGAAGTCAGATAATATTGAAAGTATGAAACAAATATCTCCTACTAAATGGCATGGTTCCAGGTTAGGGTTTCTCAACTTCTACACTGTTGACATTTGGGGCTGGATCATTTTCTCTTCTATGGGACTATGCACGAAGGATGTTTTGGAGCATCCCTAGTTTACCAGATGCCAGTAGCAGTTCTTTTCCCTTCTATCAGAAATGTCTCTGGACATTGTTGTTCTTTGGTAGTAGCAAAAACCTGATGGAGAAAATTGAATATTAGGAAAGACAGTGTTATGGTATGAGCTTTCTATCCATAAGTGGTATTTAGAATCTAGTTTTAGAACAAATAAGAGAATTAAAAAAATAAATGCTGCCATCATGCCTGATTATAAGACATTGACTGAGTGTGTGTTTGAACATAAAAAAAGGGTCTATGACGTAGCAATCTAAAGACCACTTTTTTCCTTTAGCATCACATGTAACCTATTTTCTTCCAGTCAAATATATGTATTTTTTTTTTTTAATTTTTTTTTTTTTTTTTTTTT